GGCTTCAATAAAATAGTAATAAAACGCATAAAGCAAAAGTGTAGAGTAGCCGTAACTTTTAATGGTAAAAAACACAAACGTTTTCGGGCATCGCCCTTCATCAGGTGGTGATATATATATATATATATATATGTATATATATATATATATATATATATACACATCTTTAAAACCCACAAGTAGAAGTGTATCGCCATACCTAAGTTACTATGTAATATTTATATAGAGTATAGATCCCAGGTATTCAAACTTTTTAGGATAGGGGCCAGTTCCAATCTGTTAAAACCGGTAGGGGAGCCCGGCATAAATTGTGTACTGTACTTGCATATTTTTTTTTCCTATGTCAGCCCCACCCATTTTCTTTTATAGCAGTTGATTCAAAATAGAAGGGGCCAGTGAAGAAATTTACAGGTATGGGATAAATACCACCTCAGCCCCACCACGGTGGAGGCTGAGGTTAGAAAATTTATGATTATAACACCTCCACATGGTCGGAAATGGCACTCTCAGACTGAAATTTGAATATGATTTTCTTTTCTTCTTTTCCATTTTATTTTAGAATTTAAAAAAAAAAACAAAAAAAACACTGTACATTGAATTTTAATGTACTGATATAGCATAGACTAGAAATTGCAAATTGCAAGTGAAGTGCTGCGAAGTACAACTGCATATAAATGTTCTTCGAACAAAATTATTTATGCGAGTCACGTGAAAAAATTATTTATGCGAGTCAAGTGAAAATAATGAATAATAAAACTATAACAAATAATATGAGACACGACCCATTGTCTATATTAGAACACTTCTCATTGGGTAACAAAGTCGTAATTTCATTTTTGTCAAAAAGTGTCTATAGTGTGGTGAATTATGGTTTAGGTTTTTTTTAATAAAGTTTCAAAAATTTCTATGTATGTGGAAAATGTAGTTGATTACCAAAGGTTACAATTTTTATTTTGAAGACTGCATGGTCTAGGAAGTGTACATTTTTTATGGGGCAAGTTTCCATTGGCGGGTTTTCTAGGGGCGAGTTGACAGCCAAAGAGTGTTGCCAAAGTGCGAGCCAGCGTGTTATTTGATCACAAGTGCGAGACATATCACAAGTGTGAGCCAGCGAGCCGTGACGTCACGACAATAGATAGAGACGTTAGCCACTTGTGCGAGGTATCGGCTGAGATTTGTGGAGTACAATTCAAAAAAACAACTATAGGTCTAATAATGAATTATTGTGATGTTAAATAGACAATGTTAGCTATCAAAGAGCGACATTGTTTTTCATTGGGACCTTCGTCTTCAAGGCTAAGCCTATACCATCCTAGCTAGTCTAGGCCTAGAGTAGGATAAGGCTAGCGCGACATGCGGACGTTGGTACGAGTAGGTTAGTCTACAAACGTCGCCTAAAGTAATTGATTTTACCCGGCAGAACGAAAGAAGGAAACTCCGCTTTTCAGTCATCTTTGTCACTCGTTTTTTGACAAACAATGACCTTTCAGAGGTCAAATTGCTGTCAAGAATATGAATTGGCTGCTTCGCAGCAATAACGTGACTTAAAGTACATACATCGGTGGTTTTACATGAGTCTTAAATGTCACTGTATTCATTTATACTAAAATTCATGAGCAACTGTAGAATTCCATTTGAGTTAAAATGTGTTTATAATGCATGAATACATTTATTTTAAAAATAAGTTTAATAATTAAATCCAGATAGTGGAACCTCAATTTTACAGACTAATATTTATTAATGGTAATTTCACATTTCGAATGTTTTATAATATGCTTGTTTTGTCAATTTTATTTTATTTCTTATTTGTTTAAAATCAACCAATTTAGGCCCCCAAAAATGGTTGATTTTCAAAAGCACAGTGATGTATTACAATCAACATTAGCTGAAGAAATACAAACTATGGGTGTTCTTGCCTTATTTTCTTTGCTTTCTCTACAGTCAGAATTAACGAACATTTTGAAAAAAGGCAGGTAAAATTTGATTTTGCATGTGATGTTGGATATAATCATAGGAAACAGTCTGCCTGTGAAGTGGTCATTTTTGTTACATCATTAAATCACAAAATTTTGTACCCTCTTAGACTAAATTTGATTGAATATTTCATGGGATCCGAACCATTTTATATGCATCCGGTTCTCCATGGTAAACAAAAACAGGCTTGTGATACTGCTACAAGTAGGCCTAGATGCAAACTTTTTATCCAGGGTAGCTTTACAATTCAGGGAATTATTTACATGAAGACTGCAAGGACAATTCATATGCCAACATCTTGCATTATACAGTTTATATCATTAATATAGTAATGGATTTTTAATACATTTTCGACATCTTTGCTAATATTTATACAGTACGGTAATTAACATTGCAATATATAAGTATGAATTTGCCTTGACCTTAATTTTTACAAATATTACAAATTAGGTACAGTATAACTTTTCAAGGCCATAGGATGCAGTTATGGCTTACCAATATTATCACTAACCAATTTTGTTTGTATGCCATTGCCAAGTTACACTTTTGAACATTGTTCTTCATTTCACAATTACAGTATGTTCTAAATTAATGCATGCTTCCAGCATGTGGTTGCTTTTTAATATAATCTAATATCTACTCAAGGTTATACATTCTGGAATTCATTACCATCAGCTCCATGCCTACAAGCTTTGACTTTTCGTTACGCCATTTGCATAATGTATGATTTACTAGTGAAATAAATTAAAATTGAAAACTGAATTGAAATAAATGCTAATTATCTGTCATGTTTCATATTTTGCAATCACAATATAGTGTGGTACAGTACATAGTTAAATAGTGCTGATGGATTGCCAATCTAGTCTCCAGTCAGTGTCTCTTTCAGTGTGTTGTGGCTTCTGCCTTAAGTAAGTGTTTGGACACTGGTGTTCTACTGCAATTGAATATTTCCCATATGTGGGGTTGAAATGTTATTCAGTCTCTGGACCAACATTCCTAGAATGACCAATTGGATGCCCATTGAGACTCCCTCGGGGTGCTAAGACTCTCTGCCATGACTAATAACGAACTACTTCCTATGGGCCATGCTTCTGATCCTGTACTGCCCTTGTATTCAAACTTTTTCACATGGCGATCCTATATTTCAGGGTAGCTATCTTGGCAACCCACCATTCGTCCAACTAATTTTTTATGTCTCTGACAGCAGCATAAATGCCCCTGGGAGGGGGTAGAAGTTAGGGGGTCCAGGGACAAAGCCCCAGGAGCTACGACAATCTATGGTTTTGAAAGGCTTTTCTTTTTTGGAATTACCTTATTAGGTACACCGTTTTGTCCTGTACTCTACATAAAGTCTGTATTAGGGTTAAGATATATAACAATATTTCATTATGCTAATGAGTAAATAATTTTGTTATATAATGAATCCATATTCACATCACCTACAGTTTGTCAGCAGTTCTTTCACGTATATTCTTATTCTGTTTATCAAAACAACACAAACAGTACAAAAAAAAAAAAAAAAACCAACTAAGTGAGTTGACAGGACACAGAAAATCGACCCTAATCGCTGTAACAAAAATCAATGTTTCCCACTCACCCGGCAAATGACCCACCTGTCTTTTAGCTGCTGTTCGATATGAAGACCAGAAAATAGCTTCTCCTGCAACGTTTTCCTATTTGCTCGTAATGTTTCAAGGTCAGTGACCTCCTTCGCATCATCCAGCTGGCGTTTCAGGTCATTTATCGAAAGCATAAGGATGTATAATTTCTCTATCTTCATTAGTAATGCTTTTTGTTGTTTATTTGAATGAATAACAGCCTTTGTTTTTGAATCCTAAAAAATTATTAAAAAATAGATAGATTGTTAAAATGAATTAAATTCCTTGATAAATTTCACAAATAATTTGTTGGCCTCATCTAGGATGGGAATATAGTCTTCCAAATCCCAGGGTCCTGCGTTAACAGCCTAGCAGACCATAGGATTTTCAAAACCACTCGAAAAAACTCCATTTCCCCAGCTTAAAAAAAAGATGTTTACCCTATTCACACTAGCATCACATTGCGATCAGTTGTAGCAACTGCGACAATCAACCGCACCAAATTGCAATTTACAGTCATGTGTGAAAGCTCACCAACAGTAGACAATAAGTAATGAAATCGCAATTGTTACTTGTTGCTATTTATTATAACTCCCAATTACCATGGAATCTGATCACAATGAATTCCACAGACACTGTACAATTTGACATCCCATTCTAATATATAGATTTTTTGTGACTGATTTGGTCCGAATGCCCCCGTTGATTGTGATTGGGAGTAATCAGTTTTGGATTACCAACGATTACATTGCAACTGATCGCAACAGGGTGTAGTCTGAATAGGGTATTAGGGTAATGTGAAAGAAAAAAAAAAATTATATTAAGATTCATATTAAAAAAGCTTCTTAAAAATTTAAATATCCAGTGCTAAACTACCAATATTGTGTTTAAGCCAAATCATCTTTTTGACACACAACCTTATTTTCACAAAACAAAATTGCCCAAATTCAAGCACATATCTAGGCATCAAAATTGCTATACATTTATTTAAATTTGACTTTGGTCTATACTAGAGTATTTGGGGGCTAAATTCTCTAGTTAATGACATTCTACATAATCCCACAAGAGGTGAATGTAATATCACTTCAGGGTACTAAGACCCTTCTGACCAATAACAAACCGCTTCCTATGGGCCTGATATGTATTGTTTATTATTATACAGCTTACCTCATCTTCATCAATGCTATTGCCCATGTCAATATCAATGATCTTCCTGGGGTTATTGACACTAACTGCAGTCAGTTTACCAAGTGCTCCAGAAAATTGCACTAAAAGCAGATGAAAAATTATGGTTAGAATTTGTAGGGATCATCAACTGTATAACATTGACAACAACCTTTTTTATTCTGGGGGTACAAAGGGCCTAAGAAATATATAGTCTCTGAGGCTGGAGTGCCCATCTTGTTGTGAAGGGTTTGTCACACCTTCCAGACAAGTCTGTTTTTAACCTTCCCAGCCTATGCCAGTGCCCATTTATACTCCTGGGTTGAAAGAGATAAAAGTAGATAAAGTGTCTTGACTATGGAGACAAGACACTTCAATGGCGAGGGTTTCGAACCACCGACCCAAGGTTGAGAGTTTTTGTCAAAATCTTTGCACCAACTACACTGTTTGAATATGGCATTAGAATCATATTTACTTCTAGACATGGTTATATATTTCTGTGGAGTATCACTGTTATATCTTGTTATCATAACCTACTTGGTTTGTATTCTCTTATTTCAAGCTTAGGTGGGGGCAGTAGAACCTTTGGTTTCTTCTCCTTATTCTGGCCTTCTGATTGGATGCCTTCTACACACTGCTCTTTCGCCTTCTGTTTCTGTATAAACATCTACGATAAAAATAATTTTACATTATCTAATCCTGCATTATACCTTACAACAATCATTTAGTAATAATTCATTATTTTTAATTATTATGTAAATTTAATATCATTATTATAAAAGGGAATAAAGGGATTATCAGGAAATACCATTTCCTCTAATAAAAATTGAATGCTGAAAATTCCTGCATAAAATCAAAATTCTATTTTATGTCCCACTGTTTAATACTGGTAGGTATACATACTATTTGTAAATATAAAAGTTGTTATCCAAGCCACACCAAGTCTTCTGGGTGTGTTGTTTATTCAGCTTTAGGCACTAGGACCAAAACCAAAGACATGCCAAACAGTGAACTAAATCACTCTTCAAAGTGGCAATCCCATCGCAAGACAACAGGCGCTGTATGGACCAGTACACCGCGGTAACCCCCTACTCATCTCGAAAAAGATGCACACTAGGCCTATGGTTTACATTCCTTATCCGAGAAGACTTGTTCCACCTCCAGAACTATAGGCGAGCCTGCCATGCAAACCAGCTCCGATATTATGGCTGTAGGTTGCAGCGCCCTACCGAATAGCCATTCGACTCGTCGTGATTTGTAATTCTGCTACCCATATATATGTAAATGTACGTATGCAAGGAGTCTTTGCTATGTGAGATTGTATACTGTCATTTGTTTTTTCTTTGATGTTTTATATTTGGGGCTACCAAATCTTGTGTAGGAACCTAGTTCCTCATTGGCTTTGTCCTCCTCCTGTATTTGAGGAAAATAAATATATCATTGGGCTTATTTGACTGGTTCATTTCCTTGACTACGATTTTTCGTTGAGTATCATTTTCATTCGACTGGTTTATGAAATAGACTTCATTGACAACGAAAATTAACGTAAACCAGAGTGCATTAATCAGCGTTAAGTTTCAGATTCAGATTTGACATTCTTTAGTTTTTCCACAGATAACATACAATAAATGGAGGAGGATATAATAAAATCATGTGCTGCTCAGAGCACAGACCTTTAGGCTAATAGCCCCCTTAACAAAAGCAAAGATAAATAAACACACAAGATCCACATGACCAAAAAAAACATGGCTGATTGGTCAGTTCAGCAACAACATTTGTGATAATAATTTAGATTAAATTTCAGAAAATAAAAATTATAATATTTACCCACATTCAGTCAACAAATAATTGTAGGGTAACAGAATTCAAAAACTGGTTGTAAACATTTTGTTTACGAAATACCCATAATGCCACAATCCAAGCAGCCTTGATTACACAGCGTGTATTGCGGTAACTATGCAGCCATTTTGTTTTGTTGAGTATTTACCAGTGTTCTATTTGACTGGTCATCTTCGTTAAGTAGGATTTTACCACTGAGCAGGTGGGCGTGGTTTAACGTAGAATGACCAGTCAAATACGCCCATTATTATATATACTTTACTCTCAATTGTAAATATTCCTGTGAATTTCATCAGGATTGATGCAGGAAACCAGATAATACAATTTGAGGTTCACCGTTATCATGTGACAGCTTCATACATGAACAGATAGCCTCTTACCTGGTAGTAGAAATCTTCCACCATTGGATCATCTGTCTGAAGCTGTAGCATTTGAATCCTCAACACCCAATCCTTCTCCTTCTGTGTCATCAAATTTGCATATTCATCATTAACTCCATTATGAGTGTTTTGATTGGATGGGTGGCCTCTAGACTCATTTCGGTTGGGCCTAAAATGTCTGTTATTCCTATTACTAGGAAAAATGCCAATTAAGATTAGAATTATTATAATCATCAGGCTAAAAAAAGTTGGTGTTGCCCAAATTAGGGTTTCATTTTTAATGCAAACAGTAATATCTGTCCCCAAAGGAATGCAAAATAATTGTAAAAATTCACATTGCAGACAAAACATTTAATTTTTCAGAAAAGGTGGCAATTTATTGCATAATTCTCTATGGCCCTAATGACCAGGATATGATAGGAGTATTTTTGCGAGAAACACACCAAAGGACAACCAACAAAGTCTGAACCTTGGTGGTAATACAGAGTATGATACTTACAACTGTCCATATTGATTTGGTGAATGAAAATTGTGTTGATTATAATTCCTGTTGTACCCATCACCACCATGGCCTCCTGAATAGTGCCTGCAAAATTTACAATTATTCAAGTGTTTAATATTAGATAAAGAAGCAATTATTCATGACCACTAAAAGAGGTGAGGATGCATCAAGGATGTATAAAAATCAGTATATATTTTATTTATAAGTTAATGCATTATTAAACTTAAATTTGAGGGCTAACACTAACAGTGGCGTAAGGCCTATGGGCTCTACCGTTCTGGTGAAAAACGACGGTAAGAAGCCATTTTTTTCCCTATCAACTATTCTAAAATATAAATTGATATTCAATCGTGTGATCGGAAATTTTATAATTTATGTTCAAATGTTTTTGATGCAGGAAGGTTTTGAATCCCAGTCGTTTATTGAGTACCTTGGTTTTGCAATATCTGAGGGCTTTGAAATATGCGTAATTATAATATAGAATAACTATAAGAAAATTATACAGTAAAAACAGCATACACCATGTAAAACCGAACTTTCATATCCTAAAAGGCATACATCTGAACTCACAGGTAATCAACCGCTTGGACAACTGTGAAAACAGTGTTCTCTGTGTGGTACACAAAGACGTAATCCAGAATGTGTACTTTTGTTACCGTAAAGATTCGGAATTAACTTGGTTTCCATACAACAGAGTTGTAGATGTAGAAAACTAAGGATGGATGATAGACATTTTAAGGGTAGGTGGGTGATAACTCTAATTAATAGGAGTGAATTTTAAGGATGGAAAAGTGAGTTAATAAGGGTGGGTAGAGGGCCGTGAAATTAGCTTTTGACTGGGTGGAAAACTTCAAGACTTGGTGGCTCAGCCCACCTCTGTCCACCATAACTACATGATACATCCCTGATACAATCACTACATACTATCACCAACAGCTTTCGGTGATGCTGATAGGTCAGACAAGTCGGGGAGCCTTCCAAATTGCGTGAGGGACTACTACGCAGTACTACGATTACACTGTACCGACAGTGTAGCGATTTTAAGGAAACTTGGTTATACAGATTCTACTACTCTGAAGTTTAATACATTGAGTAATTGCACTTCGGAGGAGTAGAATGTAACAGGCTAATGATGATGACAAAATCAGAATAGTATCATTTTCTTAAAAATTAGTCATCATAATATCATTATTAAGTAGTAACACAAACCTGACAGCATTTTGCTGATGTGGACTTTGTTGATGTGGGCTATGTTGATGTGGACTGCCCATCATACCACCGCGATGTCCCATACCAGGTGTGGATGGACCTCTACCTGGCATGCTCATGGGTGATGAGGGAACCCTGCCCTGTTGAAAATGATGAAAAGGGGACCTAGTAAAGCCTGGCCTAGGACTCATTTGCTGGTGTCCCTGAGCAAAGCTGGCCAGTATGGCATTAGCTATTGGAGTCGGTGAGACACGCCCACTGTTAAGTAACATTCTCTGTATCATGTGGTTGATCTGCTGGGGGTTTCCACTTCCCCCCGTCTTCTGTAGAATTTGCTGAGTTAATTGGTGGATGCTTGGCTGCATAGGTGAGGGCAGAATTTGTGGTGGAGTCTGTAAAGCATATGATTAAATTTAAGATAAATCATTCTAAATAAATGAAAGTTTACAAAACATTTTATTACTTATTGATAGATATTTGGCACAATTTAAATAAAACATATTATCATTTATAATATTTATTCATCTATGTATATACTGCTAATCTACTAAAAAATTCGACCTTAAGGTTTAGAACATTTCCGCTGTTTCTTGGCACTTCCTTAAGGACTATAAGCCAATCTCAATGACAACTTCTATGTCACAGATGCGATGTAGTAGTGGGGGACGATAGGTAATTATTGCTAGCACATGCCCCGTTCAAGATAATGTAACACCAGTGTATCTAATTTTTATATATATTGAACAATGAGGCGAGATTACTTAACATACCTGTACAGGTATTACACCTGGTGTCATCTGCATGTACTGGTGTCTGGGCGGAGTGCCGATAGGCATCATGGACGAAGCAGGTGGAGAGCCTATGACAGGTGAGACTGACCTTGCTGGGGGTGCTCTACTCCGTAAGTCTTTCTCAAGTTCTTCGGCTGTAACAATTCGATTTTGGGACGGTATGGCTGACATAATGGCAGAATCCTGATGATTGAATTATAAAACATCTCTAAAAATTGCATTTCTTGAGTGCGGGAAAATTGTCAATGCTGTTTTGATGTTATTAGTGTCTTATTTTCATATAATATAGTCCACGTATAAAATAAAACATTAAACTCATTTATTTATATCCTACAAAGTACAGTTTACCCCAAGCATAGTGACACATATATGATTTGAACACCACCATTTTTGAAATGCAAGCAGAACCCCGTACCACTAATCCATGATAAAAGTGACAATTACCTGTAACCTTGCATCATTCATGTCCCTACCAATACCAAGAATAGCTTTCAACTCATCTTCCTTGCTAGAGTGGTGTGCTGGTGAGCCCCAGATGTTGGTTGATGACAAGAGATCATCACTGAATGGGGCTGCAGGAGACGATGACCTCATGTAAGTCTGGAAATTAGGAAATACCAGTGGGCCTTACAAGTTAGTAGTTTCTCCTAAGGTTGTATATATGGTACAGAAGCATGAGTAGCCTAGATAGTGCAGGCAAGGACTTTTAATTATATCCTGAGTGGAGGTGAAAAAATTCTAGACTTGTTTCTGGATGGACCATCCAGATTATTACGTAATTAAAAAAATATTTCATATTTAAACACGGATTTTTAAAATATGTAAACTTATGTTTCTAAAAATAGATTGTGATCAATTTATTTAAATAATAATGTTTAAGTTAATATTTTATTGAAACATTCATTTGTTCTTAAGGTAAAAATAAAGCTACCATTAAGAAACATAAAATACTATATTTTTTTAATAGTTTTGATTTAGAATCTTACTCTATACAGATACCAAGCAAACTGTAATTTTATAAGTAACATAAGCAAAAGGTTAAGACTTACAGTCGCAGGATGCTTACGAGTAGCACTCCTTATTGCCGGGTCATCTAGGTCCTCATCCAACACAAGTTGAGAAATGCTGTGTTCCAACTCATCCTACAAGAAATTGATCTGTATAATACACCGTTCCCTTAAAATCACTACTCGCTACCACCAACAGTGGACAGCCTTCCCAATTTGGTCTACACGTGTAATGATTATAGTGAAAACACTTGTAATAGTGTAACAATTCAAAATCTAGGCTTTAATAAAATCAAACATAGCCAAAGCATTATAAAAATTTGTGTTTAATTTGTGTTGTGGATGGTTTGAAATACATTTACCCCCTCTAGAGTTAATGAAAGTAGTGTAATAGGACAACTTTTTCAATGACGGGTTTCGTTGAACATGTTTCATACTTGACTGGTCAGAGTGGCTTCCATCATCAATGAGATTTAAAAATCCAAAGGACATTATCTCGTGGTGGACAGAATTGGAATGAAACCAACAGTCAAATACAGTTGGCAAAGTACAGTGGTGTAACGATGGGGTCGGGGCCCTGTGGCTTTCTGAGAATGGGGCCCTTTCAGTGGAATTTTCCACTGTCGAAGAGGTCTGTACCCCGTCTTCTGACATGGTTTAAAAAAATTCAAAACAAATATTATCGGCCTATCCAAATAACGTTATTTTAATTGCCAATCCCAAGTGTTTGGTTTAGAAGCACAATTTGGACCACCATACGCTCTAAAAACTCTCCCGTGAACCCTTCTATGGATTGTTTTTAATCTGGGATGAGGACTGATGCTCTCCCCTTGGGTCGGACATCCCGTTGGACATATCTGACCCATTGTCAGCAAATATCTGGAGCCACTGCTTGGCCCTTTTTGGGTCTCATTCACTAATTCCATTGTGGGATTATAGAAGTGCTCATTTTTTTAACCATGTTTGTCATTGTTAAATTCTAAATATTTTCAGTGGTGGATCCAGGAATTTGAAATAGAGGAGGACCAGGGAGGAACTTTCAGAGATGGAGGATGTACCACCTGAGCCCCACCATGGTTGGGGCTGAGGTAATAAAATTTATGATTTTAGCACCTCTGCATGGTTGGGAATTGCACACACAGACTTAAACTTGTGAATATAATTTTCTTTTTATCTCCACAAAAAAAAAAAAATGAAAAATTTAGTTAGGGGCCCCGGGCAGGCAGAGCGCCCCTTAATTCACCACACTGGATAATATGATATATTCTACAGTCGATGTCAGGGACACATTATGCTGTTATGTATCAGCAAAACCCTTTTTGGTCTGGGTGACAGATCGAGGACCATATGCGAGGGGACCCTTCAGTTGCCCTAGAGGTTTGGGCCACTGCAGACCGCCACATGACAGCGCATAAGCATTACACCACTGACAAAGTAAAAGCTTAACTTCCTTTTGTAACATGAGCAGGCTCATGGGTTAATTTCATTGCTGTGTATATCATGGTGGTATTACTATAATACTACTTATTACTGTTCAATTTAAAAATATGGAGATGTAATTTGGTAGCCTTGCTCTTCAAATTTTAAGAACTAAAAACAACTCCACTGCCTAAGCCTCAAAAGAAAACAGTAAGAGTATTGGATATATTGTTTTATCTTGTAACTGGCGAGTGTGATGTTAGATGTGCAGGTTATAAAGAAAAAGTAATTTGGATGACTATATTATAAATGGGTTCACACAAAATACACAACACAAAATATTGTGTTTAGTCACTTCTCTGTAGTTGGTCTCTTGACAAGCATGCTGGGGGTGGGTGAGGCATGCTGGGAATGGGTGAGAATTATTGACAGTACCTCTTGGAATTGTAACTGTTCCGCACTTGCAAACCCGGAATCATTTGGGGATGCTTTGGACTGCGATGATCCATGCTTGGATATCACCTTTACAGAATTCTTTGTAAATCCTTTGTCATCCACATCTGCTTGCCATTCTTCTAGAAATTATCAATCAAATTGAATTTCAATAGTGAATGTTGTCAAAAAATTATAGGGTAACCTCAATCTCTCATTTCTATTTGTAAAATGTAGTACACTGAATTTCAATTGTAATGTCATTTTTTATTGTTATTATTGTTATTAAAAACTTATAAACCTAATACACTTATGGAAAAACAAAGTATTATTAGTGAAATCAGCTTATATTTTTGTATTGTTTGTTTATAATCTATATTATGAAACATTTGAGCAACAACTGATGTGTTTGGATGAAGTCAATTTTTAATAACAAACTAATTATTTTTAATGAATTAAATAAATACTGTATATAATCCTTTGGTGAAAACTGTCAATATCAGTAGAAAGTATAAATAAATGATTTTCTAAACTTACCCACTGCACCTGATCCAAATGTTTCATCATTAAGAACATCATATTCTTCATCTTCTGGAAACTCCTCCAAAGGCTAAAAAGGACAGGAAAATATTCACCAATAAATTATCGATGTTGAAAATTCACTTACCATCGATGCAACATCCTCTTAAAACACTTCTTCTTAGACGACTGAGTCATTTTAGTTTCTTTATTTTTTTGTTTGAGTTTTTGTACACATTTTATTAATGACCTTTCAACAGCCTGTAAAAAGATATAATTATTTACAAAAAAATTATGTTGAATTCATAAAGGGCATGTACCATCTTTGAAAGCTGCTACAATGCTTTTTCCATTTGCAATAGGCAGCCCTTGTAATAAAAATTTTGGTATAACCTGTTGTTACAACCCTGTCTACTGTAGACCTACATTCTCACTCTCTAACATATTTCTAAAATGACAGCAGCTATCTTGGTCTCAAACACTACAAGATTTCGTTTAATATTGTTTTTTTTATTGGAATATCAAAAATATTATCATTGGCTGAATTAAAAGTGATGTTTATAACAAAGGTTTTGGATAGATAGATAGATGGATGGATTTATTCGGTGTAAACACAAAGGACAGCCCACAAGTCTGCAGACTTATTTCCACTGGGGTGGTGATTGGGAAGTACACTGGGAGACAATTCAATACTCTTTTCCAAATAGTGTATTGCGACACCAACAGCTTAAAAATCTCATCTGAAAGACAGTGCGCTATCATGTGCGCTATCGTAACTTCTATCAGTCCTCCAGCTGAAACACAAGGGGACCAGCGATGAGAATTGTACCGGGGACCTAAAGATCTCCACTGTTAGCACACACACAGTGGCTACCACCAGTTTAACCGACTGAGCTAAGCTGTTCTCTGTCTTAAAAATAAAACACTGAAAGACCAAATAAACAAAGACATAAATAGCAGAACATATGATTAGAACAATCATATTATACTGAACTTAGTACACAAGAAATATTGTGGATCTTCCCCACAGATAGAAACTGCAAAGCATAAGAATACAGGTAAGGAATTGCACCGTCCCTATACTTGTTAGTGACACAGAATTGTAGTGGCATCATGTGGAATTATTAGCAAGATGATTATCAAACAAATAAAACAAATAATAACAACAATAATGATGTCATTATACTACAGTGTAAAAAATCATCATTACCGCAACAAAAACATGGTTGTCAACAATGACAAAATTTATAGACTTCTTGTTTGGTTAGGACTCGCTTTGTTTATATTGTTTATCAATGACATGGCAAGTTAGATTTGTGTCAGATACATTATGTGCAAACATAGTCAACTTATGGTCTGCTAATATGAGTGTGATACATATAAACAAAAAAGGAAAATAATCATATATACCAGATAAATAAGCATTACTTTGAGGAAAATAATATTTGTGGACTAACTATTCCTCACTGCAAAGTATTACATATAATAGTATATTGTGATATAGGCCAATAATATTCTACAAAAATTTGCAACAAAATTGGCCTATATTTTTAAAACGCACAGACTGATTTATAGGCCTAAAGTTTCGCACAGGGATATAATATTCCCTCGCAGACAGTCTGTCAAATGTCTGTCTAGTTTGGAGTGAATATTTGGAACAAGTGCAATCCATGGACCGAGGACAAATATCTTCTTCAATGGGTTAGAACATCGGAGAAGGTTGCATAACCACGGTCCACTGATCGCATTTGATCCACATATTTTATGTAGGCCTATCACTTTTAATCAAGAAATCTTGGAAAGTATTTAAAGTCATGCTCCTAGAATATTCTCATTTATTCAATAGAATTTAGTGTACAATGCTAAAGGTACAGCAACTGGAGTTCAGGGGTGGGCATTAAAAATGGTCAGAGGGCCTAAGTGAATTTTTGATTTAACTCCGAGGGTCGCACATAAACTTTGATGTTTCTGTGCGTTTCCAAAAACCTTCCTACACTGTTTTATGGCCACTTCACGCTCTGTTTTACTATTACAGTACTTTTTACAGATGATCGCTGCTGGCCCACAAAAAACAAGGTGTTTTTTAGACAAAGACATTTGGCGGGCCGCACAAATAAGTTTTGGCCGCAAAAAAATCACTAGCAGGTCGCACTTTGCCCACATGTGGTGTGCTTTACAACATTCTGGAAAGAAACCAGATCATAAATATACCCAATATTATCTGCTGTTTACCAAAAAAAAATGAACATATAGGCCTAAATAATTACAAAACAACCAAAAAATGAAGCACTACAAAATACTGCATAGGCCTTGTGTACTAGGAAGTTAAACAACCTTATGATGAGGAATGGTGGGCATTGATTAAACACATTCTACTTTTACAATATTAGTAAAGCTAAAGTCTAAGCCTACCCTCCTTGCTGTGTGATAAATGGAGAAAAAAAAAACAACATTAAAGTAGGAAGGCGTTAATCTTGGCATAGAGGGCCTAGAGCAAAGGCCTAGCCTACAATGAATATATTGTGACATTATTGTTAAGTGGTAAAGGTAACAAAATAAACCAAGTAGCTGAAATATAAGTAAATTAAGTCAGTAGATTTGTTTTACTTAGTGAGCGTGGACCGCTAGCCCTACGCATACATAGGCAGCTGCACCTAGGCCATCAAATGGCTCTCTACGCCTTGCCCAAACCATTCATGGAGGTGTTTCCTGCCCTGGACAAAAAATGGTCGTGCATGATGAACGCGGAAAAACTTCATTCATTTCGTAGTTCAACTAAAAAAAAGTTATAATTTATAAACGAGCATTTAAAGTACATATCTAAGAAATTAAAACTGGCATTGTGTGTAACAATTACAAGAAACTTACAGGCATAGAGCTATCAAATTCAAAAAAATTACTCATTTTGGAAACTCCATTTTGTGATCGGGGATTTCCACACACACGATTTCATTTGAAGAGACCTCACTGTAGCAGCCTATTCCATTTCTAACCAAAGGGTGGATTAATAAAGCTATACGCAAGTACACAGTACAGTGCCGTACTGATATAATACAACGCAGCACTGTTAGTAACCTCTCTTTATCGAGGGAAGTGTCTATTATTCATCTTAGTGAAAACTTCGTATTTATGCATATTAATAAAATTAAATTTTCTGGTACTAACATTCACAAAATGATTGAAAGAACTATATTATCAGAGGGTAAATTGATTATCCAATTTCTTCATAAATTATGAATCATTAAAATATAATACAATTCCACGACAACAAGTAGTAGAATAAAATTGATACTGGAGTGTTTATATACAATTATGGTACTTATAGAACTATATACAACGATAGGCCTATAGAAGTTTAGTTGGAAAAAAAATTGAATCTACCTTTACGGACCAGGTCTCTGAAATGGCGAGTCTAAAACACAAGTGCAAACTCTGCGAAGTATTAGTGCTGGTGATCAAGGTCAGCAGAGAAAACTAACTGGAGGGAGAAAATATCTATAGGATTACGTATGATATCATCGTAGTTTTTCTACGTGAGCCCACATCATATTGAATCTAAATTACCAATAAAAATCGACCACATTGTTAACAAAATTTATTTCACTTTCCTTTCAAATAAAATGTCAACAGGAAAGTTTCTGTCTGCCTTGTTTCTTTTGGTGTGACCAAAATATTGGTTTTGTTAGATTCAATCAAATACGATTGAGAATCTTTAACCAAACTATAAACTATAATTAATACTTAGAAATTCAAATCTTCGAATGCTGAACTCAAGATGTTTTAGTTGGAAAATGTGGCTTGCAATCACTGTTGATTAAAAAAGAAAGACAACAGAACAAAAAATATAAAAAGAACAAGGAGGAGTTGTTCATTTAAACCAATTATTGACTAATTCTTTATTAAAAGGTATTAAATACTACCGTACTTATTATTGTTCCATGGGTGTAATAGAACTAAAGGATGAATTTAATTCTAAATTAAAAATATCTTTAACATCAATTTTTTATGGCGCCGGGCTAGTTATCTGGAGGCCGTAGGTTCAATTCCCACCACTTGCTAATTTATTTCGCAAGTATACACTGGAAACGTAGTACTATACTAATACGGTAGTATTCGGTACGATCACGCCAGGTAGGACAAAATATCACTTGATATTTTCCTGAAGCACTGCACACATCAAAATAACTTTTTAGATAATACAATAGTATAGAGTGCAGTTGAAAGTTGATCAGTAAAAGAAAAACATTTATTCTCCGATCCAAAATATTACTTTAAATAGGCTATGACAAACCCGGATATTAGTTTATACAGTGAGACAATATTTATTATTGGTACAGTCTTGTTATTATGGGCTAGGTCTATGCCTACTTAAACTAATTATATTAATATTAATAGTGGGCTAGTTCATCATACTATATGATGAGTGCCTTTTCGATACTGATACGATACTGATGTCAACTGAAGTCAATAACGAAAAATGTCGTCAAAGAGGACAGGTAGCAAACACAAATCAGTTTCCTCATCCATTTTATCTAAATATAGGTAAGAAAAACTTACCTACGAATAAATAGTTGCTTCGAGTACGTAATTTTAGTTACCACGCATGTCCATTTCCGAATGCAAAAACGAAGCCATCTTGGATTTTCGATGGAGACGAACATTGCCGATTGAACAAAGCATATGAAACTTTTCAAGATAGATAAAAGTCGTTATAAAGTCAATTTTACAACCGAGTATCCTATCAAAGCGTAGAACAATCACCTTTACACATACTCATAAAATTTTGGCTCTTGTAAAAAGGAAAAAATGGAGGCGACAGAAGTTTCCGTACCTGTAAACATTGAGGAATCCGAGAGCATTTCCGAAGACTTGCCGAGTGGACAGAATGCCTTTACAACAACAGTTGTGAGCGAACATGATGAGCGAGTTGGTGCGGCAGAAGAGGTTTTCGCTGGGACTCCTACTGCTATATTATCTACGGACTCGGATGCTAGTAGTACTGCACAGTTAATTGCAGTTGTTACTGATGGTTCATTTGATGCATCTGATTTGAAAACTCCTGCAACACCATGTACGCCTGCATCGCCAGGCCTAGAAAAACGAACAAAATACAACTGGGATGACGCTTACCATCTGGCTGTTTTACCTGTCCGTTGTCGGAACCAGAGTGCCGAGCTGCACAAGGCTAAGCTAGGGTCTGGTAAGTTCAAGAATCTTTCGTATTTTACTTTGGCCTACATATAGTAGTGGATTGATATCGTAAAATACAGGACTACCGACTCATTTTAGTGTTTCTTGTCTTCGTATTTGTGTCGACAAGAAAAAAAAACCATCGTAATCACAACAGTTCAAAAAAATAGACTGCCCTGGATGACTGGGTCTCTTCCTTTTCTTAATCTTGTATCGTCCTATTTAATTTAGGCTACCCTATGCCTAGTTAGAAAGAGTACTACTACTATCTAGGCCCCTACATAGACCTAGTAGAGTGCTACTGACACGTACTATATTTACTGCTGTAGGAGGCCCAGCCTTAGCCTAACTTAACTACTTAAAAAGTGCTTAGGCCTAGTTTAAGATTATTATATGCTTTGGTACCACAATGTAAATTAAAATTATTTTGTTCTGCAGCAGATACATTAAATCTATCTAAAATTTGCCTAATTGGAGTATACAAGAGAAACTACTGTACTTTAATTTTTGGCAGTGTAGGCTTTTTTGGTACAGTATATCATTCAGTTGTAGTTGTGTGTGCGTAAGGCATAATTATAATGCGCATGGATATTGAACAGAATTTAGTTCAGTGAATACCAGTAGAGAGGTTGAACAAAGTGAGAAAAGTTGTGTTTTCCTTTCATTAAAGTTTGTGTTGAATTTGGTCATTTATTTGGTTTATAATTTAAATTAATAGATGTATGGTTTTTTTCAGAGATTGCAAATTTATACTTCTGACCATTGGCACATTATAATAAACTTTTGTTTTTGATTCCAAAAAGGATCAAAGGCGCAACATATGTGAATAGCCACTGGAAAACAAATAGGTCTTACAGTAAGCTATGACTTAAATTTGCAAAGAGAGTAGAAGAAGTTACATATGTTATGTTATATTTAGAAGAATCATGAATTTAACCTGCTAAACTATGTTTCTTTCCGTTATCTTTGTTCCTTATCCGATCATGACAATTCATCACCAAAACCAAAATATGGTTGATATACCTTTTCTGTTAAAGCAAGTCCTTTCTAAATGGATTTTTTCCTCTTTTGGCTTTTGATTTACTTTTTATAATACAAAGTCTGAAGACTCATTCATGAAAGATAATATGGTAACTTGCCACCTTATCGTTGGTCACCAAGTGCCTTTGAAAAATTCTGAATGGAAAATTTTGAAAATTCATAAATCTCTGTTGTATTAATTATACATCTGCCATTCTAACTTAGTTTTATTTGTTAATTATTTATTCTTATGTATTGATTATTATAATTTAATGTGAATTGTAAAATGTAAAGGAAATTTGTCTTTTAGTACTTGTTTTATTTTTTACAGCAAGAAAAAAAAAATTATGACTGCATTATTTTGTGTTTTATGACAGTAAGTTTTTCTAAATTCAATCTGAATTATTTGAATTAACAAATTTCAGGTTCAAAGGGGAAATGTATCAAAGTGAAAGATGCATGGTACACACCTTCAGAGTTTGAACAATTGTGTGGACGAGGAAATAGTAAGGACTGGAAGAGAAGTATTCGTTATGGTGGACGAACAATTCAATGTCTAATTGAGGATAGCGTGCTACACCCACATGCAGCATCCTGCACTTGTGCCACTTGCTGTGACGATGAAGCAATGGTGAGTACTGATGCTTGCAGTTGTGTATGTTTTCCAGCAATTTATTCATCCACATTAAGTTTTATGTAATAATTCCACCTGTAATGTATTTGGCTTGTAACAGTGCCTTACAGCCCTGGTATCGCTGCTCATGGTGCTAATGCACTTGGTCACTCAATAAACAGACATGCACTGTGTGTAACCTCCTTCCCTCTACGATAGTATTCTAGTATTCCTAGTCTGCAACTGATTTAGCACCAGATCAATCATTCCAAACCATTCATATCCTACCAGTTACCAAAAAACTGAACATGTTTCTTAGATGGCCAAGCTGACCAGGGTCACTCATCTTTTTTACTACTATTGGCGGTCTGATACACTCTTACACCCTCTATAATGTACTATTGTCAGGTGAATCTTTATCTGTTATCAGGTAGTTTGAGGCTTCCTCTTGGTTTTATTGCCTTTTCTTCTGTTATTTCTGAATCTTTTAAAAAATCATTTAAAAGCTCTTCAAAAAGGAAGTACTGTATAGTATATCTAGGGCTATTATATACAAAATCTTAAATGATGATAAACACAGAAAACTGCTTTGATACAGGGACCTAATTATCCAGGTAGGGCGAGACTTGTACCTTGTTAAGTGAACCCGCTGACTGCAAATATTGATGATTTTGAATAAAAATAAAACTATATTGTTGGCCAATTAGCGCACCCACTGCCACGAAAAAGTGGAAATTTCGGGAAAAATAAAAGTTTTTCTTTATTTTTATTACGCCCTCCACTGCCTTGAAATCTCCAAAGATAATATGTATATTTCTTCCTAATTATATAAATTTGAAGCATTTAAGCTAACTATTTTACATTCACCAATACAATTTTATTTTTATATTCTCCGCCGTCTGGATGTTTTTGGCCAAACTTTTTGCTAAATAAGAAAACAAAATTTTTATTTTTATTTTTATTCCGCCCTCCTCCGATGACCTTTAAAAATATAAGTACGCGAAACAAGAAATAAAAAAAGTCTGGCCTAATTGCTAACGTGCGAGAAACTAATTTCAAATGCTTTTTTACCTTTAAAAAAGTAAATTTGATGATTCCTGTCATCCTGAAGGCAGGAGAATGCTTTGTTCATAGTTCCTTGCCTACAGTACAGTCATGAAATATTGCACTTTTACCTGCGCGCATGCTTCGTAGATAATCGTAGCCTGAAATAAACAATCTAACCTGCGCGCAGGCTTCGTAGCCTGATATAAACAATCTAAGCAAGGCTATGCGAAGCGAACCTACGAAGCAAAAGCATGTTGTTTATTTGTATGTGCAGAAAGACTGCTGCATCTTACTGGAATAAACAATGTATTGTTTGATAATTTGTGAATGGCAAACACGAGTTTAGACCGTTAATTTAAAGTATGGAACTGTTTTTTAATAAGAAAAACGTACACTTGACTTCATCCATGGGAGTCTCCTCTTCCACTCGCTGTCCACGACAGGAACTTGTTTGTACTGCTGTATTATTTTTTTTAATTAATTAGCCTAGGCCTACCTTATTTTTCATTTACAATTATATTACCTCATTTAAAATGTCAAAAAACGATGTCCTCAATGGCAATACACACATGTGAAAAGATTGTTCATCAAATAATAATTTTGTAGTCTTGATTTAGTAAGATAAATAATAAATATAAAGGAGAATTAACGTCTGTTGGTTGTAAAATTACCGAATGTCACATGGAAAACCCAGTGGAAAATAAAACTTAGCCAGCATTAGACGTCAGAGTGCGCGCCAATCAGAACACAGTAAAGTGTGTTAAAGGTTAACCTCATGGCAAATGTTGAAAAGCTGTGAGCAACAGTGAGTAAAAAACGGAGTAAATGCAGTCTAGCATGACTAGCCTTAATTTGGCAAGGTAGTGATTTCTATACTTCCATTTAGTATTGGATCGCTTTGCAGGTTGTTCTGCTTCAAATTACGGTAAACAATAAACAACGTGATCTGTAGAAATCGTAATAATTTGTACATGATTTGTCATCAGTATTATTTAAAAGAAGAAAATTCCTACTACCAGAAGAATATTATCAGATCAAAATTCTCCGATCTTGGAAAGTTTACCAGTATAACTACTGTCTGCTCTCCTCCTCTATAGGGGAAAATGTAGGCCGTACGTAAGCCTAAATTACATCAAAATTCGAACATACTGAATGCCCACTAGGTTACCCACCCAGCTAGCGAACTAAACACAGTTTTAAAACATGATCGATTTAATAATAAGGTAGGATATAACAAAACAATAAAGTTCTAAAATTGTTTATTTAGTAAATTGCAACATTGATTACGTGTTGAAAGCTGGTAAACTATATTTCAATATTGTTTACGCATTGATTATCAGCCCGACGATCATTGCAAAGCTAATTAAAATAACAATGACCTTCGTAGTGGTTCGTAGCTACGTTCCAAACGGTACCTACGAGCAGGCTACGAGTGGTTTCGCGCAGATACGAAGCGATATTTCCTGACTGTACTGTACCTTGGGTTAAGTCCACCCCCTACTTTATGTATGATTTTACTTAACAGCATGTGCCTGGGCAAAACCCAGGTACAATTTGAATGGGTACTTTTGACTTTACAATACTTTCACGGGAAAAACAAGGGTGGGCTTTAATTTGGCATGAAATATTGAACATATTTCTTTTGACTAAACATTCCGCAATTTGAAAATATTCTTTCATGAACAAATGGTTGCTTAGATACTGTATAAGCGAACCCAAAGTCAGCCCAATTTCATGTTAAGTGGGATGGGCTGTGGTCAAGGAACTACGGTAGTGCTTGGCATTCAGTTATTACATGTAGGCAGATATGCAATTACAGTGTATACTGTTGTTTGTGGTTTTGTGATTAGTCTATGATGACTTTTTGCAGCTCAATAAAATAGAATTGATAGATAGACTTAGTTCATCCTCACAAAGGAAAAAAATTTTAAATCTTTTTAAGCTTTGATCATTAGGGTGGGCTTTGCACTGGAGGTGGGTTTACGTCAACAAAAATATATACTTCTAATTAAGGAGTGGTCTTACCCACTGGAGGTGGGTTTACGTCAGCAAGAATAAATTCTACTCATAATTAAGGGGTGGTCTCACCCACTGGAGGTGGGTTTACGTCAGTAAAACAAACAGGCATGAAGGAAATCAACTGATTTCTCTATATTTTCACACATTATTTTCTATTCAACCAATTTAATGTTATATCTGTGTAATAATTTTATATTTAATGGCTCTATTTACAAATCATACCACCCACATTACACGTGGGAAGAGAAAATGAGTGGAGTGAATTGACAACATTTTTTGCCAAGGATCAAATGCACTGAGTGCTTTTTTTGCTGGATGGTTTTTTTTTTTTATTTGTTATTTATTGACCTATATTTACAGAGGCTGGTCTATTCAACTCTACTGGAGCTAATCATTTGGGATGCACATACCTTAACTCTTATTAGAATTTAAAACAAAGTAAACAAATGAAATTGACAGTGGCTTAATGTACATTGTTGTACACAAATTTGTATATACCGGTATAATTGATAACTTGATACATATTTTGAAGCTTATTTTCATTGTTTCAAGCACACAAATATTTGACATATTATTTCTGAGAATCAAAAAGTTTATTATGAGGGATATTCATACAGCACTGGCTGATATTGATTGGTAGATCTGATATGTGGTGTTAAAGATTTAATGCATGATGTTAATGGATTATAAATGTATTCATAAATAATTTCAAGGAGTTGTATATCGTATGTTAAAAAGTTCTTTACTTAATATTTTATGAATAATATTTATTTGCTAACTGCCTACTTTTACTGTACAGATTGGAAAGTAAATTTCCAGACTGATAACCAGGTGGTATAAATGTGGTTAAGCAGACCTTCCTCCTCCTCCTTCATGTGAACTTCACTGATAAACTAAACCATCCCTTTCCTTACATAATTAAAAATAGTTTAAATAGTGATTAATTTCACTATTTACATACTAGAGCGCTTTAGCTCCGTTGGTGACGAGAGCTTAGCCAGCGAATCATCCGGCCGTCTTTTGGATGGCCAACAATTATTTAGGACGGCCCCTTTTCCGTGATGGCTTGGACTGTTTGGCCTACTCAGCTTGGCCTACAGTAGCCTAGTGGGGTCTGGTCTACCTTTAGCAAATTCTTTATATTATTCGAATCTATCAAATGTTGCATTAAACTGCAGCATATTTTGGACGGCCTTTTTTTTTTCTGGCTAAACCCCTGATTGGTGACCTCCATAACAGCTCCATCCTTGGACCCCACCATGGTACCTAAGTCAAAGTGACCATGGACCTCTGGTACTAATATAGAATCTCCCTAGGATTATGGATACTGGACTGATTTCAAAATAAAATATAAAGAGTTTGATAATGAAGGTTGCTCATATAGTCGTTTAACACATTAGTACATGAGCTAATTCAGTACAGTATGTTTCCGTATTGAGTCCAAATCATTAAATTCGTTTGTAAACCTTCACAAAGATGAATGAAAAACCAAATATTTGATTCAAACTAAAAGTTGCTTCATTTTTGAACAAGTCATTTTTAATTCAACCTATAGTTAGTACACCCACAAAAATAGCAATGAATGGAAAAAGCCCCTAAACTTTCATTGGATGATTTGAAAAGAAATTCTACGAAACTCAACAATAGCTAATTGATTTAAGTAAAAGTGTATCCTGTTCACATTGTACTTGTACTGCTTTATGTAGTGTAGTAATAGACTGATGTAATCACAGAACATTCTCATAGGCTTAGTATTCCTGATTCTGTGATGCTCTGTGTGTATTCATAACTATCCTTATAAATTAATCCATTAATATTTGATTTAGATACATAAGCATTTGGTACATTTTTCAAGTAATTAATAGCATCCTATTGAAAAGCCTCTTTTAATCTTTCCTTGCACACCCTTGGGTAAGCTTTTGGGTTTTGAGAAATTCAATGGAAAGATATTTTGTTCAATCTTCCAAATGATTTGCTACAGTATTCATAAGTATAGTACATTGCATAATACTTTAAGTTATAATAAAAGTAGTAAAATTATTTTAAATATTGTGATTGTGCATGAGACATCAACTTTGTTTTCTGTTGCTTATGATCAATTTTAAAATTACTTAATGTATTTATTGCATACACTAGATTTTCCTTTAAACCTTAATTTAATCTTTGGTTTTGATCCAAACCAGCATGTCTTAATATTTTTCATCTTTAGTCTCTAATGCTATTTACCATATTTACTTAATAAACAGCCTGATTCTTTCTACCTTGACATATCACATTTATTACTCTGTTATATGAATATTTTAATGTGGTCCCTTTAAATCTTGCAATATCAATTCAGTTGTATAATTGTATGTATACTTTCTGAAGCTGATGTACCAAGTAAAGTAGTATGTACTGTATACCTCAGGATGATTAAATACCGAATTCCAATGAGTGTTTTTTCCAATGTATTTAATTAATAATTTCCTTAGAGTTTTCACCAATGTACTCTCAACGTTCATTTCAACGCAACGCAACTCAACGCAAACGCAACGCAACGACAACGGGTAAAACGCGTTGGGATTTTTGCAATACAACTGGCCGGTACTGTACCTTGACATATCACATTTATTACTCTGTTATATGAATATTTTAATGTGGTCCCTTTAAATCTTGCAATATCAATTCAGCTGTATAATTGTATGTATACTTTCTGAAGCTGATGTACCAAGTAAAGTAGTATGTACTGTATACCTCAGGATGATTAAATACCGAATTCCAATGAGTGTTTTTTCCAATGTATTTAATTAATAATTTCCTTAGAGTTTTCACTAGTTCTATTAACCTAGGGATTTACTTTCATGTTGGTGTAATAATGGAAAATGATGATAATAATTATTATAATGCATTAATATTCATTAAATATGCTCTTGGCAAAAGTGATCCTTGAACCAATAGTGAAGCTGTTCAGAATTGATGCGTTGGTACACTGTATGTGATAATGATCTGCCTTTGGCTTTCCTGTGAACTTCCTTGCCAAATTACTGGGGTGGTTTCCTATTGCTTTCCCCAGTAGCAAGCACTCTTTTCACTAGCCAGCCATTGTCTAATTACAAGCATCTGACGCCTGCCAACATGTTATTAATGTTGGTACATAATGTAGTCTCTGTTTTAACATGGAAGTCTTTGGTCAAGATTTGCTATTTCAATTCAAAATTTACTGAATAAGACATTACTTTACCTCTGCATATTTGTGAAACAAGTTAAACTCTGATATACAGTATCAGGAATGTCTAATTGTAGACTAAGTTCTTGGAGGCGTATCCTGCCAACATGTTATTAATGTTGGTACATAATGTAGTCTCTGTTTTAACATGGAAGTCTTTGGTCAAGATTTGCTATTTCAATTCAAAATTTACTGAATAAGACATTACTTTACCTCTGCATATTTGTGAAACAAGTTAAACTCTGATATAGTATCAGGAATGTCTAATTGTAGACTAAGTTCTTGGAGGCGTATTAATGAGGCATTCCAGACAGAATATAAATCTGTTTTTAAATCGTAAGCAGATTCATGTCAGACATCATCTATCATCAAAAATTCATCCAAATGTTATGTTTCAGTACCATCCCATTTCAGCTAAGTATTTTCTATTAAAATTTTATTTTTGACATTCAAAGAAAAAACAAATTGCACTAATATTTTATTTTAATTATTAACTGTTTAAAATAATTTATTAGTATTGGGATTACTACCTAAAAACAAGACATAGTGCTTGGCAGGGAGCACAGTGGTTGTAGTTTACACTTTCAACTATAAAATCAGGCATTGAATCTTCCAGTTGTATTTTTCCTCTTGCGCAATGTTATTTTACTAGTTTTATTCTGCACCCAGTAACATTTTAGATTGATATGTGTTTGTGCTGTGCTAAATATTCATGAAGTACTGTATCAATAGCTGATACTGTACCAGTACTCCCTTGGTAGCAAGGGTGGATGCATTTAAGTATGATACTGTGGTTAACTGTGTTAACTTTTAGATATGGAAGGGTTAGATGCCAAACATCAAGCATTGTTGCTCATGTCATTATTGGTGGTTTTTTTTCCCCCAGTATTATTGTTTTTGTATAATAATAATTTTTTTTAAAGGACGTTCATGTCTAGAAGAATAAATTTTAACACAGGGCTCCATAGTTAATACCAGCCTGGTTAATGCTGTACATGATGATCCCTTGGGAAGCTAGCAGAAATGCATTAAGGACTCCTGAAATTATCTGGTTTTTCCCCTTATATGTTGTACAGTACCCATTTTATGTTGAGAATTTTTCAAGTAAAATATGGTGCTACTAAATAGGATTTTTATAATTGTTTTTTGTTTAAAAGAACTGTCATATTTGATGAAGATTTTATTAATTGAACAAGTTCAAAAAGTAATTACAGGACAGCTTACAGTCATTTTACTGAAATATGGTAGAAACGGAGAAATAATAAGAGACAAAGAATAATTAGGCCTAGGCAAAACTATGTAGAATTACTTGCAGTTTGTTCAAACTGCACATAAAGGTTTATCTTCATGGGTGCCTGTCTCTCTTTCAAATCCCAAGCCTAGCTTTTAAGTATTTAAGTCCATCAGCATATTGGAGACCATAAATGAATGGCCAACAGTATATGAATAAATTTACACATGGGGAACGCATATACTGTAATATATTTCATATACTTAACATAGTAAAAAGGTCGTAATTTGAACTGGTTTCACCACTTTTTCCAAGTGCCTGTCATACCGAAGGAGAGGCTAACAGAAGAATGTAATGCATGTTTATAATATTACTATTGTATAGCTTATACCTCATGTACAGTTCACTGTCAAATCATATTTTAATGCACATTGCTTGAGCCTGTTGGTAAGTCTTCCATCAGAGAGCATCATGGGATATGCTTTCTTGTCTATTTTGTGGCCCATCCTACAGTATGTTTCCTTACATTTTATTTAAGTTCAATATTTTGAAATTTTAATATGTTCACTTTTATGTCTAATAAAATGTTATTTATCATCTAATTCATAATCATTAATTACCTATGTCATGTTTTCTATTAGTAATTATGTAACCTTGCAATACAGATAATATCATTCAATTTCATTAACATTATATTATTAATCATAAATTATCATCATTGTCATCAATATTATTCAGGTGAACTAGTTTAAAAAATGTTCTTTGCTATGCTAAAATAATTTTTTTTTTTTTTAAATAAAATAAAATTTTGATTTGATTATTTCGTAATTTTCATCATTGTTTATACTTGATGCTATTGTTGGAATAAAAATAAAATATATAAACGGAAAGTATTGGGATTGTCAGTTGGATATTTATATTTTTCATATTTTGAAGTCTGGAATTTTGTAACCAGTTAACTATCATAACATTGTGTCTTTTAAAATTGGTTTATATTTGAGATTGAGGGAAATATTTGAACTTTAAATTAAGATAACAATCTTTAATGAATATTATTTATAAATAACATTACACATTACTGTACCTTATATTAATAAATCAGATTGCAGGATATCCCCCATTAGCATCTAAAGCCACATTGGCTACAGCAGTAGGCCTCTGCTAGGCCTAACTCCTCTACAGATTGTATTGAATTAATCTCTATCATCTTATCATCATCAGGCATCATCATCATTATCATTGTCATCTTTTTTTTGTCATAAATAGTCATTCTTGTGATCACCAGTACTGTCACATAAATTTAATTTTTGACCTTATCTAGTTCATGTTCTTTATTGCAGACTGGTCCAGTTCGATATTTTGTGCCTTACAAAAGAAAGAAAAGAGATGAACTTGAGACCCCATCTACACCTACAGCAACCAAGAAACCAAGACCAAAATTGAAAGATGGTAAGCGGTATGATTATAATACCTCTTTATAAATCCTCATGCCTTTATCTCTGAGCAGATTTTAAAACCCTGTCCAGACTATCAAATTTTATTTTTTTTTAAAAACCACGTGACATGCCTATATGTAAATGCAGTCATGATGGCATCATGACCATATACAGTATAGGCACATTATGACTATATGGGCATACAACAGCTTTTTTTCACATAAAATTTGAAAGCTATAGAACCACAATAATGGTTTAATAATTATGCCCATTTTTATGCATGTAAAAGTCATGCTGGAGTGGATTTTTTTTTTTGTCCAAACGGGACATGCCTGTGTGATGTAGGATACTAACCTTTCATTGACTGTATTTACCACCGCCGTTCCAGACAAGGCTCCTAAATAAAAATTTACTGCTTTAATGATTGTTCCAAATATGTAAATTTTCCTTATATATTTATGATTGTTGTTTCTATGTTAGGAACAATAATTGAAAGACCAATGTCATATACAGTAATTTATAAGAGGAAGTACAGTAGGAACAGGGCGGCGTCTTAGTCTAATGCTACTGTTGTTATTTAGACAAGTAGAAACAAGACTGCTTGTGTTGTTAATAAAATGTTGGTGTTGCTAAAGACCGAGCAGTAACACGTAGAACCAGAGGCAGAGCATTAGTGGGATTTTCACATCGATGAAGTAGATTGAATTCTGTGTGCAATGCTGATCCCAATGAATACTAACAATCATAATTACTCTTTCAAGTTGGATCTCATTCCAAATAACAGTTGACACTTTAACATGCAGTATTTTTCAAATACCCACATCCACACTAAATTTTTATATTTCAATAGTTATTGTAAATCGGTTAGAACAAAGTAAAATTTTTACCAAATCATGAAAAACTTTAAAGATAATATCTAACTTGCAAGACCAGCTTTAGGTGTATCCAAGCTCTGTACAAATATCTTACATGTTTATGTGTCTTGTTCTTTTAGCTGCAGAAAGCATGCGTTCATTTAGTTTAGAAAGCAACAATGGTTTAGACACCCCACTACTGACACCTGTTGTTCATGTGTACCCACCATCACCACCAAAGACCCTTGTTGTACTACAGCCAGATCAACACTGGATACATCTTGAAGAGGTTGGGATTAACATTTTTTGATTTGTACAAATTTACCTGTTGTATGTGGGCTTTATTAGTCATTAAAACAATAGTTCCTCTTGTGCCCATCCTCTTAAACTTTAAATTGGGTCAATTTTGGGCGGTGTGCTTTATAGGGATTGCCAAGCAAGAGGCAGTTTTTAAACACTGCATGCGAAATTCAAAGCAATATTTGATTGTAATTTCTGAAAACATTTCTAAAGGTCACTTCAACTATTCCACATCATAGGGTACTGTAGGCTTTTGCTTGGGGAATCCTTGGTGCATGAAATTGAACATAAAGTATGGATGGAATTTTACATTAGGTAGACTAATTACACATGAGCAACTACAGTAATAATTAGTAAAATTATATAATTTATACAAGATAACCCACTTTTGAATGATTTTTAAGCATCCTAGAAAGCTCATCCTAGGTTAAAAAAAGAGGTAATTATTTTTTTTTGATCTGTGACTTGCAGTATTAATAAGTTGATAATTTATTTCTTTTACTGTATATGAGAACTTCAACTTTGTATGATAATATTTGAGGTTTTTCTTTTTTTTAATTATTTGATGAGTTTCTTTTTTATTGTCAAAACGAGACGGCACAATAAAATCCACTGGGTGGTTTGACAATATCTCAAAAACAAACCTAATCACTATTGTGAATTGTGATCCTCAACACTTGGCTTCACATAAATGTTTTTAATATTAAAAAAAACCCATTTTTAAAATATTATTTTCATTTTTTAAACTAAAAGCATACCAGTATTATAATTTGAATGTTTAACAATTAGAAATATATAATATTTCAGTTATTTCATTCAATCTGCTGTTAAACCAAGTCTTAAGTATACAATTAAAATCAGGAAACCATTTCAGAGCTAAATACAATTCAATTTCACTATAACAGGGCACATGTAGTACATTTGCTCTTTAGAGAATGGTGTCTCAGTTGGAAACATTATGTTTTTGAAGACTGGTTCTCAGACATGTAATTGGGAAGTTTTTCCTCGGACCATTTTAATACATTTCCTCAGATTCTGCTCAGACGGCACATTTAAAAGATCGTTTTTGCTTCTAAGTGTACACATAAATTATTTTCTTATTACTAACTTGGCATGCACATACCTACTTCCATGGCTTCCATTATAGCTGTGATGTTTTTTATCTGACCGTCTGTTCAATGCATAGTGATCATGGGAAGAGGGAGACTACAGTACATACAGTAATGTTATTGAAAAAATGGTACCAAGTTTAAAATTGGGCTGAATAGACCATGAAATTCTAATAATCGGATGAATTCCTTTTGGCTTGTTAAGTCTTTTTCTTTATTTTTAAACTAACACAGTAGTTTGAAGGAATGCTATATACCTGTAATATGTGATACAATGGATTCTATGTAAATTGTGTGCTGAGAGAGACTATTGGAGCAAATACTAAAATAAGTGTTGAAACATTGTGAAATTGAACTATGTTTATTGTTATTGATTGAGGCCTCTTGGGTTGTGTTGCTTATGCTAGGCTTTATTTTGTTGAATAGGAACTGAGTGTGTGTCTAGCTTTTTCTGGTAAGGAATTGAGCTTAGCTTTAAGTTCCATTGTTTAGGATGCAGAACCTTTTGGTTCATTTAGTGTTTATTAGGGGTGCATTGATTAGGACCTGTCTTCGTTGATTATTATTAATAGATTTGGAGTTGGATGAATAAAAAGTATGTTCTTGACAAAGATGTTGATTATTACATACAGTGCACAATAAAGAGTCTACTGTATATTTCCATTCTTGTAGATCTTGTGAACCTCCAACCAAGTGTTATGTTTTGTACCCTATGTGAGATTGAAATGATATTTTGAAATTGCAGTTTTTAAATAAAGTTCAATGATGCTACAGTTTTTAATATGGATGATTTAATTGCTGGCATTAGTGTTTTTACTTTTAAGGAGATATTGATAAATTATTGAATCACTAATGGTAACAAACATTTTGAACTAATATTTCTTGCGAGTCTTTGTATCTTGTGTCTTTTATTAATTAATTGCATGGTGCGGATAAGGCTGGGATGAGATTTATGTGATATGAAGATTAAGGGATCACCTTATATTGATGTGTGTGGGTAGTAGACTAGTAGTTGGATCTTTATCATGTTGGCCCATAATCCCTTTTATGTTAACTATCTATAAATGTAGAGGAGCAACAATTGAAATTGCCTTTTTAAAGGTATTAGTAGAATTAAATTTTAAAATAATTATTGACTGAAACAGTAGATTATTAATGATATTTAGATCAGATATAAAGAATAATCTTGGATTATGTGCTTATCTATGAGGTACACAAACTGTAAGAGTATGAATATTATTTTGTTCAGATACACATCTCTCTTTTTATATCCTTTTCGTTTTATATCCTTTTCCCTTTACTAATAATTGATTTGACTAATGGCTGAGGACTGTATGTTGTGGTTAGACATAACATCAATCTTGTGTGTAGATGATTACAGGAGGTGGCCTACTGTGCTAGGCAGCACAGCAATCATAGGAGCTAGATATTAAATGCATGGCCCAAATGCAACGACTTGATTGATATAAATTATGGATGAGTGATATCCAGCATTACCGTCTGTATTTCAAACTGTTAGCTTAATCACTGCAGCATTGACTTACATTACTGTACTGTGCTGTAATTTATTATCCTAAAATTGGCAATAATATTGACATACAGTACAGGCCTTTTTAGGTAAAACTGTACATGCTAGTTTTTTCCGTACCTATTTTCAAATCATGCACAATATTCCTATTTGTAGGACTTTTATAGTGAAATCGCTTATTTCCTTATTACCCCCTCCCTATTTACCTGGATAATACCATATTGCTAACCATTGGGTGTTTAGTGTGAACAGACACTTGGTAACAACATCACGTAATGGTAATATATTATGATAAATCTATTACAAAATGCCTTGAGGTTGATGTTTTACCAGACTTTGCTGCATAAAATTTGATTCCATGTTTAGAGCATTGATTCCTTGTTACCTCTGTTGAATCACAACGCAATACATTCAAACTTAATGATGTTAGTATAAGCTGCAGTAGCATGCATCTCTCAACCTCATTTGTAATATTTTATCCATTAGGGTTTTTTTAGTTGAAATTGTAAGCTTGCTTTTTACTGCTAGAGTGGCAGCAGGAGTTTATACAGAAAAAAAGAAATAAGCTGTCCAAAATATGCTTTAGTTTAATGCAACATTTGATAGATTTGAAGAATGCAAAGAATTTGCTAAGGTAGACTACACTAGGCCCAACTAGGCTAGGCCAAGCAGTCCAATAATTGTTGGCCGTCCAAAAGACGGCTGGATGGCTTGCTGGCTAAGCCCTTGTGTGGCAGTATCAATTCATGATGAACTTTTTAAGCCAAAACAAAACAAGATGATCCCATTATCAGATGTGTTCTTGATCTTGGTGTGCTTTATGGAGGCAGGGTTATTACAGTCATTCAATCGTCCAATATTTAATTAAGGTGCATAATACATCATTGGTCTTTACCCTCCGATTAAAATAAGTAAATTTTGTCCAATAAACTAGGCAAACTGAAATGAAATACAGCAGGCAGAGACGCTGTACCAATAGGTTAAGATTAGTGCCCCTCAGGAGGGCCAGTGGACCTGAAGAAATCCGAGGAAAAAACTTTAGATTTAGATGTGTTTTAGCTATTATTTGAGATAGTGTGAGACTGTGATTCACACATACAATCAACCATTCCAGAAATTGATGCAAAAACTGCATATTTTCTGTTCTTGAGTCGGCAAGGCATTACAGAAAGAATTGACGAACTAGTTTTCAAAGCAGGGCTCACACCTGCATTTTGGTCTAAGTTGGAATCTCTGATTATTTTGGCGCGATAATGTCATGTCCTGTCTATATGAGTAAATTTAGAAGCCGCAGCAGCACATCAAACCAAACACAGACTTATTATAAATTATATTTTTGTGTTTTTGTATCTTCATTTCCTGTACTGTAGATGGCTAATAGTCTTTTCCATCAAGCACAACAACTGAAGAACATGGTAGGACAAATGAAGACAGAATGTATGGCAAGCAAGGAATCAAGTCTTGCACATGCTAAATTACAATTTGAAGCAGAAAAGAAAGAGGTAACCCTTCCCACTGACTAATTATAATTTTATTTCTCAAACACAGCACAATGGATACATGAGGCACATAAGCAACAGGTACTTTCTGAATGTTATACAGAGTTCTTTCCCATCCAGAATGGGCCCTTTTGTAATACAAGACCAATTTCTGCTATACAAAGGATGAATTTAGTAAAAATGCACTTCTATCGTGCTATCTAAATGTTATTGTCGATTTGTTTCTTTCTTTTAAAATATAGATAGTCTAAATTGGATTATCAGTTTCAGTAAGTTGTCATTATTCCAGTAATGTGATATATAATATATATAAAAGATCGCTATGGTTATTGTGACTTATGTTTTATTGCCTTTATCATTGTCATAGCAGTATGCATATATATAAATTGAAGGGATAGTCTTGGCATTTTGTCTCAAATTAGAGGGTTAGCTTTGTGTGAAAAGATTTAGATGTAGTTGGTGCTCAAATTTGGAGGTATACAGTATTGTATGTGAACATTGCCATTATGTTTTTTTACCAATCCACAGGCAATATTACAAGTAAAAATTGATAGTCAGATGCAACTATCAAGGGCGCTGATGGAAGCAAGGGCAGAGAAAGACAATGCAGTCTCACAGGCGTTGGCACAGGCTAGGGCTGACAAGATTGTAGCAGTTGCTGAAGCCAAGTCTGCTCAGCTCATTAAGGTATGTTTACCTTCATTTACTTATCCACTCATTCATTTATTAATTCACCCAATCCTTCACTTACATGTGCATTGTATAATGTAGTCATTCAGTAGTTCATTTTAAATATTAATTTATTTGTAGAATCGTCCTTCATACATTTATTCATTTGGTTGGAAAGGGTGGGGGTGGGGAGAGTGGACAGTTATACACTAATGTGATGGTAATTAGTTAGCCACTTCAGCACACAATTTTAGCACATCATACAATGTACCACAAACACAGCATGCAAGCCCACTGACCTTCAATAATTAATTGAATAGCATAAATCACCAGCCTACTTTTTCAGTTCAGAATATGCTACAGAAATATTTCCACCCCCACACATGGTCGATTACTCTGTTGATAGTCGATCTGAATAGTGTGTTTCAATGACAGATTCCAAGACAGCACCAACTCCTTATAAGGATGTTACAGTATCAATGTTTGAGTAGATGTATAATTTATGCTACTTAATCCATGGGGTTATGTATCCTGGGTCATTGAAAATGTACAACCATAGAGCTACCGTCTGGTAGTGATGAAAAATAATAATAATAATTAATAATAATAATAATAATAATAATAATAATTTGTATTCAAAATTAAAACAGATGTTGACCTATATTATATGATTTAATATTAATAATTAAGTATTTAAATATAAAAAATAAATATTAAATATTAAATATTTATTTTAATATTTAATAATTTTTTGTATTCATGATATTAATAGTTTTTTATGAAGAAATTTAATTATGAGTATTGCCCTACCCATGTGAAACTGTAGCCACATCCCTCAACAGTAGCAATATATATAATATATATATAATAATGTAGTAAAAATGTAGATAGGTCATAAATAAATCATTAATATTTGATGTTATAGAATTATGCTTCCAATTTATCCTTAACCCCATTCCATTAAGCACTCACTTTTCAAATACAGCATTAAGGGAAAAAAGGCTAGGTGTCTACAGGCTTGAGTACATGTAAGCGAAGATTAAGAGACCTATGACAAATATAATTATAGACAGGATATTACTCTAATTGCTTTCAATAACAAATGCACAATGCTAAATTTTAAACACTTAAAAATCATTTAAGTATTGCTAACTTTCAGGAAAAAAAAAAAAAACTTTTATGTTTACATTCCTAGGAAGAGCTCTTTTTGGATTATGATTGCTATAAACTCCACACACAAGAGGATGTACAGTTATTTAATAGGATGTAAACAATAATGCTAGACTGACCATGAGACTTAGGGACTGGAGTCGTTTTAGTCGGCAGAAAAATTCCTGTCATCTCAGCTCCAATTGTTGGAATTTTAAATAGGGTTGACTGTATAAAGAAAGGAATTGTTTTTATGCGAATTGTCACCACCATTAACTTTGTATAAATATGATGTGGTGGTGGTGGGGGGAATAATATAAAGGTATATAATTCCGCACCATCACAAGCATCATATTTATAGTGTTGTATGTGATGGGGAATTATATAAAGTTATATGATTGTGCACCATCACATACATCATATTTATAGTGTTGTATGTGATGGGGAATTATATAAAGTTATATGATTGTGCACCATCTCATACATCATATTTATAATTTCAATTTCAATAGATTGCCTCCAAAAATGGAGAGTATATAAAAAAAACAAAACAAAACATCAAGACACATCAAAATAAATAAAATCATGTGCTTTGGAATGAGTACGGTAATTGATAGTAACAATAACAATAAATAAAGTGTTGTACCACAAAAGAGAAAAACAAAGTGTTGTATTGTATGTGATGGTGGTGAATTATATATTTATTATGTGATTTCTTTACATCAATTTACCTTTAAATTCATTAGTTTTTTGTAGAATCCATGTAAATATGATGGTGATCTAGAATATTGCTTTCTGTTATGTGTATGTTCTATGTTAAAGTACTTTTGATATTTCTTTCATACCAATGTTCTAATTTGTAATGTAAATCTTTTGCCGTTTGTTTACAGACATATGACTTTTAAGTGAACTTTTTATTGGAAACACTATTTAAATCTGGCTTACCCTGCTTTTTTAGTATCCTAATAAAAACTTTTAAAAAAAGATGAAATTCTAACTTTCTAATCTCAATTTCAGACATGCGTAAACTGTGGTCGAGAAGCCATGAGTGAATGTACCGGTTGTCACCAAGTCAGCTACTGCAGTAGCTTTTGTCAGCGCAAGGATTGGGCATCGCATCAACAGACATGTGGACGTCGGAGCCCGTTGCATTCACCACTTCCTCTTACAGAGCCCCCACTTGGAAGCTGCTATGTGGAAGTGGAGGAGAAGGAAGACTGAATGGCTGGCCAGTCTCGATGCTTGTTTTTAGCAGCTCCTTTGATATTTGAAAGCATCCTTAAATCAGCTCCCTTCTTTACTTTGATACAATGTGCTTGGCACTAAAACTACACTACCTCCCTATCATAATTAAGGCTGTCAGTATGATTGACTCTTGCCAGTCACATACTGAATCCGTCGTGCATATTTATAACTTTTCTTACCACATGAGGGTACTATTGCATTCTCATGGAACTGTACTCACCTGGTGTTATTGTACTCACCTGGTGTGTGTATTCATTGTATTGGGTGTTTTCTATCAGATGTATAATGTTTAAAAAGATAATATCATAATATAATCATTTGGGGGAAAAATGTTGGGGTTTTTTTTTCCAGAAATAACTGTACAGATATACTATAGTCAGTACATAAACACCAATAGTTTTTACTAGTTTCAAAAACTAGCTTTTATTATGATACAGTAATGATTAAAATTGAAACAAGAGCAATTAATGTTCCATTTTCTTTCAATATAGTGTACTGTTTACTGTAGCCCATTCAGGGGCAATGCTTTCTTCCATGATGGCATTAAAATTTAAAATAAACTTGCAGCTTAAAATTAAAACATGATATACATTATTAATGTAGCTCAGTTTGCGTGTTACTACATCATTCTCCCCCTCAGTATTAATATTTATTATTTCACTTTTTTACACTTAATGGAGTTGTGTTCAGGCAAGGATCCAGTAAGGGACAGGGGACCACATTCCTCGTTTTGCTACTAAATTTTAAAGCATATCATGATGTGTGTATTCTGAAACTGCTGTGCACCATCCCATGTTTGAAAAATTCTGGATCCGTCCCTTGTGTTCCTTAGCATAACCATTGTTATTATGTGAATTTTGCTTATTTTTCTCCTAATATTCTGGGCTATTTCCCC